GGAAAGAAGGATAATTTTTACTTTCATATTTTTATTGACTAATAAATATTTAAGACACAATAAATATTTTGTTTAAAATGTGAAATGGAAATTTGAGCATTGAAAATTATTACAACGTATAGCACTTAATAGAATTTTAAACAAATATAGTTACCTAACAAAGGTCATTAATAAATTATTTTTTTTGAAAGTTTTATTGGTAATTTTTCATGAAGAGTATAATCTAAAAAAGAATAGAAAACGGTAGCTAAGTAACTTTATCTATAAAAAATTACTAAGATAATTATGAGATTATTTTCTTCACTTTTGTTAATCTGATACTCTTATAATGAAAATTATTTCTTGTCTTGTTTAAATTTCTTAAAAATTTGCTACTGGTTACAGATTTAAAGCTCTGTAAGCTGACTACAGATTTTAATCTCTGTTATCATTTCTGTTATTAAATTTTATGCTATGTACTAGAGAAGATATAGAATTCGCAGGAGGAAAGCGCAATAAAAGCATCGACTAGATCCGAAAAATCAACATTCTAAAATAAAATGCCAATTTTTAACACATGGTTGTAGCGTTGTGTTCTCTTTGCTATCATGAAATGATCTCGACGTTGAAGACAGTTTGGTGAGTGAGTGAGTGAGTGCACCGCTATGATGGCTTCCGACCACGGACATGAACCAAACGGAATTATATACCATCACGGCGGGGAAGACTCCAGAGTAACAAGGTTGAATATTATATATTATCACCAAGTCTTTTACAATAATACTAAGTCAGGAGAAGGGTGTAAAAGACCCTTTATTAACTCAATAATAAAGTTTACAGTTAAATAAATTTACAGTTAAATAAAGTTAATAATTACAGTTAAATAAAGTTAAATAAAGTTTACAGTCGGCACCAACTGAAAAGCCAACATTTTTAACTCAAAGGGTAACAGCTTCACAGGTTAAAAAAAAAAAAAAAAAAAAAAAAAAGAATGTGGACTGAAGGATACAATTGTGATGAGCTAAATATTTCTGCAGAGTTATTTAACTAATTAAATTTAGAAAAATTACATAATATGTGTCCAATAATTTTTATTGCTTAAATAGCTAATTTTAATAATTATTATAAATATACTTGTATTTTTGATTCATGTAACGTATGTTAAAATTTAACAACTAATTTTATAACCATTTGAAATAATTAAAGTCTATTTGGTTATCATTAATTAATTTGGATGTATGTATTATCTATTACACCCCATAAGTGAAACATCGCTATTTGTAATATTTTATGGAAGATTGTTGTTTGTTTCTGCTATCTAGAAGTTATAATCAGACATTTACAATCGAATTTAGTTTTGAAATCTTGATGGCCAATCCGTGATAATTCTTTCTTTCCCAAACAATTGCTCACCCGAATCAAATACTTGTCATAAGCAATTATCATGTTAAAACTCCAGTAGGTAATAGTGTGCCAAATGGAATAATTAGTCATAGAGCATAGACATATAATAATTGATGCTATACTTGCACTGGTTATAAAAATATTAGCTTTTGCCCTCATATCTAAAACATGGCGATACTATACATGGCGACTTCTCTTATTCCCTCTTATCTGAGCGATTATCGTGTTAAAAATCCAGAAATTACTACTTAATAATATTTTAAATGGAACTAATTAATCATAGAGCACAGACATATAACAATTGATATTGTACTTGCATTGGTTATGAAAATATTGGCTAATGAAGACACAATAACACGCCGAATAAATACTAATTCAGAAGTCAAACAACAAAAATCAGCGTTATACCTACAAAATTTTCACAGGACTAGTTTCGATGGTTTTACCGAACCATCATCTTCAGCTGCAAAACCGCAATTGTGAAAATTTTGTAGGTATAACGCTGATTTTTGTTGTTTGACTTCTGAATTAGAAAATATTGGCTTTTTCCACCGTATCTAAAAATGCCGATGTTACGACTTCTCTTCTTTCCTTTTATCTGCCAAAACGTTTCTTACGTATTTGACGCAGTCATACCTAATGGTAGTAGTTATAGTCAGGATTATATGTTTTCCTCAATTTTAATATATGTTTACTGAGCATACGAGGGTTAAGTTAATAAAGACGAAGACCTACAGAAGAAATATACCCGTTTATAGAAAGCAAATATAAGCGATTCCGATGTACGATGCAATATATGTTCTTTAAATTTTTCAATAAGCCACGATGGATGAATTATTATTAAACTTTACATAAATAGTAATAAATATAAAATGTCAAACTCTGCTGTTGCATCTAGTTCGTTATTAAAGAATTTCTTCGAACAGGAGAAAATGGGTGATAGGGAAGAAGATTTAGCTGCAGAATAAGGTACTTTTGCATACCATGCTAATTTGCCACAACCACAGCTTTAGGTCTATGGATTATACATTCAAGCTGCTTCAAGTGGCATTTGAGCCTAAATTTACATGCGCGCGAACCAAGGCCGAAGCAATAATACTAAATGTTTCCCTGCCTTACTTTTTAAGAGTTTTGCACAATGATTGGGAAAAGAGTTTATTTGTTTCAGTCTTAACTCATGCGTCTCAGACGGAAATAAAACGTTTACAATATAATTGTTAGATTTATGGTGGAGTTGTGGAGTTAGAGTAAACATTTTAGAACTTAAATCCTTACCTGGTGCAAGATCCGATATTTTCAGCAACTATTTAACCACATATCTTTAAAAAAATAATTTGAAAGAAAACGTTATTAATTTTTGTGGCGATAATACGAGTTCTAACTTTGGAGAAGCTAACAGACGTGGAGAAAATAATGCTTTTGTTAAACTGAAATGAAACCTTAATCGTGATTTAATTCTAGTCGGATATGCAGCGCATATTATCCAATAACACTGTCAGAACATCAGCTGATGTTTTGCTAGTTGATACAGAAATGATTATTTCTGAGACATTTTTATACTTTAAATCTTATACTGTTAGAGAAGAAACATTGAAAACTTTCTATAACTTCGTAGAAACTTATTTTTCAATGATACTAGGGTATTCACAAACAAGACGGTTAACATTACCTCCCGTCATTGAAAGGTTACTCCAAATGATTTTACTACCAAAGGCTTATTTGCAGTTTCAAGAGAAGTGTCCCATGCTTATTTTTAAATTGTTTGAAAATCCAGTGGCAGAAGAGTGGCTACGTTTTATTAACACCCAGGCCTCAATATTTCATAAAGTTATTACAACAACAGGAAACCAAATTGCGTCTGTATTTGATGCAATCTTCAACGGATGCTCTGAAGTCTTCAGTGTTGAGTAAGATAGAGAATAACTTTATTTCAACAAATGTTAAAAAAAAAAAAAAAACCTCTAGAAAATCTCCAAGAAAATGGAGACGAGTCACAATGCGAAGTTATTGAATTTCGTGATGCTATTGTTTCATTTTATTAGACTGCTCTTACTTATTTGGAGAAATGAAAAAAAATATTTCGGGAGATGGAAACTTACAGCTATATCATATTAAATAAAATCCCTTCTTACAGTCAAACTGGAAAAAGCCATTTTGCTAATTAACAAAATGATACTAAATCGTAAATTATTGGTACTTGATATATACAAGGAGCATGTTTACCTTAAACAATATATCACCTAAGGAAAAAAATGTTGGAATAGTTAAAAGTAAGATGTGCCCAGTTCAGAGGCGGATGGAAAATAATTGCATATTTTAATAAGAAACAGATTCCTTTTTCAAATATTTTAAAACTGCCAGAATTTTACTTTTGTCTTCCTGGCACTAATGCCGAAATTCAGCGAGTATTTAGCGTCATGAACAGTTTTCGGACTAGTGATAAGCCACAGCTTAAAATGGACACTTTGAAGGGTATGTTAATTACCGAAATAAATTTTGATGAAAATTACACGGACTTTTATAAGAAGATGCAAAACGAAAAAGATGTTCTAAGAAATATTCATGCTTTAGAGAAATATAAGGCTACTTTTTCAAAATAATTTAGAAGGGTTACAAATTTATTATTTTGTTTAAAAATGAACACTGCGTTTTGATTTATTCTTTATTAATTAAAAATATTATATATCACTATTAAAAATAAAGCAAAAAATATTTATTTTCTCTCTCTCTCTCTCTCTCTCTCTATATATATATATATATATGTAGACAAAAAGTAACAAATTAAGAACCAATTCCACTAAGACCCCAACATAAGCCAAACTCAAACAGTATATTCAAAATTCTTTATTAACATATAAAATTAACCAAACGTCAGAAGAAAAATATCTCCACCACAATAACAATAATAAAATAATTTATTTTTAAAAAGGTGTTTAAATATATATATGTATAGATATATATATATATATATATATAGCTTCCCGAGTCCTGGAATCCTGGAATCCTGGAATTACGGAAGTTTTCAGGTTCGTTTTCTGCAATTTTTTATTAATTTTATTGTGGGAACATTTATATATAACTTCAGTGAAATTGCACTGAATGCGACTGCAAGTACTAAATTCTACATACTACTTTGTGTTTAAACTGAAATACCTAGATTATGTCATTATAAGGAAGGTGATAATGAGTGTTTTTATCTAAAACATGTAAGGAAATTTATCATAACTAAGTAACATTTATTGAAACGCATTAATTCCTCTTTATTAGCAAATTATAGCAATGGAGAGAACCATTTGCTTTCTTGGTTTCATTTTCTTAAATTATTAGCAACATGATTTTCTAGCGGGAAATATTTCATTTCAAAGTTTACATTAAAGCCGTGCAAGATACATAACTTCATTAAAACAAGATTACAAAATACCCTTAATTTGTTTGGCCCTGTATTTCAAAACTCGTGTTTTGTGATTTTTAGATTACGTTTTAAATTTTAATATTTGTAAAAATTATTTATGCAAAGTCGTAAATTTTTTATTATATAAAATAAATTTTATAGTGTATTATTTATATAAAGTAGAAGTGTGAAGTAATAATAATAAGTTTTCATTTTTTAATTTCAGGTTATGGCCACTCTACTCCAGCTACATGGGGTGGGAAAACATTCTGCATGTTCTACGCCTTAGCTGGAATACCTTTGGGTTTGGTGATGTTCCAAAGTATTGGTGAAAGACTAAACACGTTTGTAGCTTATTTGCTGAAATTCGGTAAAAGATGCTTGAAAATGAGAAACACTGAAGTTTCAGAAACCAATCTAATCTGTCTGGTTTCCATCCTGTCAACAGTTGTGATGACTACTGGAGCAGCCGCCTTCTCGAAGTACGAGCGCTGGGATTATTTTGATGCTTTCTATTACTGTTTCATAACTCTTACTACTATAGGATTTGGTGATTATGTTGCGCTTCAAAAGGAGAGTGCTCTTCAGAGTAAACCTGAGTATGTTGCTTTTAGTCTTGTATTCATTTTATTCGGTTTATCAGTAGTGTCTGCAGCAATGAATCTTCTTGTCTTGAGATTCATGACAATGAATACAGAAGATGAACGCAGAGATGAAGCAGAGGCTCAGTCAGCTGCCCAAGAAGGTGTAAGATTGGAAGGTGACGTCATAACGGCAAATGGCTCTATCATTTCCGGACATGATCCAAATCTATCTTCGGAAGTGGACGAGATCACTTCAGTGTGCTCGTGTACTTGCTATGGGCACAGACGGACGGCAAGAAATGGATATTCCTTCCGTAGATCATCAAGCAAAAACAAAGTTCACCTACTGCCCATGAATGTATTAACTAGGGACAACAGAATAATCGGAGAGCAGCCGCATGAAGGAAATCTTGTACATGCCAATACTGCACTTTATTTTCCTTACGATGATATAAAAAATAAACGTGCCTCAATATGATAGTAAGTTGTCCTTACGGGCGCGTATTCAAATGAACCAAATATCAAAGGAGAACACGCAGTAGTCGTGCTCAAAGGCACTAGTTAATGGCATTTTTACCGTCAATTCTAGTACATCTTTTACTATGTATGCAGGAGCTGGTACATTACAAGTTTCATTACAAGACCAAAGTTTTAAATATTTTGTGACTAAGTAAATGTGTATAATGTAGGGTCCAGTGTTCGGAACAACATATTTTTCTATTACATCTGGGAAGGCAACTTTATTCATAGAAGGACAAACATCTTAGTGACTTGAGAATACTGTCCACATCTATATGGTAGTTTAAAATAAGTTCTATATCTAAAGCCGTTGAAAGGCTTTGGATAATAAGTGCTTCCCAACCGTATATTACGGCACTCAGTATTGCCTCGACGCATTGTTGCGCGGAGCCGGGTTTTCTCTTTCATATTTTTAAAAGATGTCTTATCTATTCCCAGTTTCTCATTGTCCTAACTGGACGCCTATAGGCGCTTGAAGTGCATATGTTTTTACGTAATTCTTTATAAAAATATAAGAGACTTATCCATTTGCTTCGATATAAGAGTATGAGCTCTAGAGCCATTTGGACACGCATGAAGTATTGCGGAAAAATGTTTGCCCATTATTTAATCTTCTTAGTATTTTCTCCATTTAAATGTGAGATATGTTAGAATTAGGCAAATTTTGTGATATATAAAACATTTTTGACACTTCATTAAAATTCTAGCTATTATTATACACTTCAAAAGTTACCTAACCAATTAAAAATGAAATAATTCTTCTATCGCATTAATATTAATTTTTGTTGGGGGTAACTTTTAAAACATATATTATCCATGTATATGAAAAATATTTTTAAAATATGTATGTGGTCGTCTGAAATATTTTTGGTGAATCTTTCTATATTAATCAAAATGCTTTCTCTATTTATACACACACACGCATTATATATATATATATATATATATAGATATCTATATATATATATAATATATATATATATATATATATATATATATATATGTATATGTTATATACATGTATATATATATATATATATATATAACTGGAACTTTTAGAGTTTCGATATTTATGTAGAGCAACATAAAAAGAATCTTTTCAGTCTTCTTGAAGTAGTTATGATAAACTTCCTTAAGCGATAAAAACAATTAAGCAACAAATTGAAAATTTTATTTGTTCTGAAACATGCGTCAATAGCTAAATTGAATGTTATACATAAACCTTATAAACAGGAAAAATATAAGGCATTAACATATTAATGATTGTTTTAGTACAAGTATTTTTAGAACTTTTAGAATATTTCTAACACTGAGAAATTTAATTGCAGATTTGCTCATATATTTATGTAGTTGTAAGTATAATGAAGTTAATTATTTTCTCTTTGCGAAAGAACGCTTAAACAGTGTAGGGTTTTAGAGCACTGAGCATCGATTAAAATATACATGCTCAATTCTGCAAACCCTTCTTCTAATGATGTTTGTAATAGCTTTCATATATCGTGAACAGAAGCATTTTCATTTTACAAGAATGTTTAAATTTGTTCCTTTAAAGCATATCTTACAATTATCAAAATCACTGAACATTTTCAATCAAATCAGCAAAATACAGTTAAAATTAAAACTATATGTAGCGCGTAATGATGCCAAAAATATTATTTAAAATAGCTTTAACTACTCAAAGCGATTTATATACATGTATTATCATTTGATAGTTTTTGCTTCAACTTTTATTTAAATTAAATAGCAATTAATTAATAATTCCTTATTTAGGGTAATATTTAAAGCAGCAATATTAAGTACTCTAATTGTTATGTGAGAGCACAGTGTAATTTATCAAATAGTCTATCAAAGAAAAAAAATTAAAGTAATAAAATTATAGAATGCAGAAAAGAATGATGTGGGATTTCTAACATTGTGAAGGATGCAGATAATATGGTCTGCTTGAAAATTCCCTCGATCATTGCGCAGATTAAAACATCTTATTTTATTTAATTTATGATCTACAAAATGTACTATAATACTTCAAATTTTGAAGTTACCTTTATGATAAAATTTCTTGAATAGCTATGCAAATGCTTACCATCCAAAACAAATTTTTATTAACTTCTACCGAAGATAAATTTTGATTAGATAGAAATTTCAATTATTGATCCTTAAAATTCTATTAAAGAGCCAAAATTCATCACAAAATATCTTAAAACTTTGAGCTACATGTGATATTAAACATGTTTCATTATGCTTAATCTGATATATTTTAAACTATTTAAATTAGAACGTAAATAAGTTGTAAGTAAATAATAAGTACAAAAATAATAAGTGCAAAGAATAATAAGTGCAATAAATAATAAGTGCAAAGAATTGTCTCTTTCTTAGTGCCTAAACTAACTGTAAATTCATACTTCGAGAAGAGTCAAATTCAAACATCTATTGTATAGGAATCAAAAAAATGTTATACTTAAATTTTGAAAAATGATGAAAACTGTTTGTAGAAATGTTACCTATAAGCGTTAATTGTATGTTAGAAATGAGTTATATTTAAATATTTTTGTCCAAATGAAAACGTTGCATCATTTAGATGCGAATTATTGTGATTTTATAGCTTCTATTAAGCGCTAATGGATTCAATCAAAAAATATTATTGGCAAAAGCTAGTTAATTTTCATGGTATTAAATAACATTTAATCGGAAACAATTCATATTTTCTCTGAAATTCTTAATGACGTGTAAGTACATATTTATTTTATTTGTGTTTATAAGAAAATAATAAATTGACCATAAAGGCAATATAAACAATTAGATGTTTATACTAACTTAATAAATTAAAAATTAAGGAGTTTTTATAAATAATTTTGATGACAATTAAAAAAAATGTTTTTCTAGAAAAGCAAAGTTGCAAATTATCGTCAACAAAATTTACTGAAAACTGTTAGACTTCAGAGGCAAATTACATACAGATGTTTTCATCATAGGGTAAGTGCTACTTAAAAATCGATTGCATGTAATGGGTGGAGAATATCATAAAGCAATTTTAGGGCAAATTAAGAAATAAAGTTAACATTTTAGTAGCGGTATTAGTAGCGGTATGACTGCTTTTTAATTTAATGCGACCACATTTAATTAAGTCACATAAAATTCAATTTCAATTTAGTTTAACCAGCTTAAATAAAAAGGCTGATTGTGAACATTTTAAATATACAAATGAAAATAATATAAATGAAAAATAATGAACTCAAAAGAAATTCAAGCTAATTTTGTTGAACGACCGACGTTGTGTTTTCCGTTAATACTTCACATTAGGTTGTCAATTAATACGAATGATAATTTTACGCGAAGCACTTGGTATTCACTTACGGCTTTTGTGATAATTAAGTATTCATAAAACAATGAACTTTATGCACAAAGAAAATTTATGCAATATTATTGAGCTATGCATTTTGGATAGGAATGGAAGTGAAATAATATTCTGAAAATGAGAAACAGGATTTTTTTAATGCAACAGTATTTTTTTAATTATATAAGTGAACATGTGTGCGATTCTCCGTAATGCAATAAAGAGAGACTTGTCTCTTTCTCGCTACTATACCGTGCATTCATAGCTTCTATTAAATGTAACTTTATCAGTTTTAAATTATTTCCCATCTAATTATGCCTAAATAAAATTGCAGAATCTTTGAAAATAAGAAAAGTCGAAAGTCTTTGCTTTTTTTTTTTTTTTAAACTTAACCATTTGTAATCTGAATTATAATAAAACACTCTTTTAGGAAAATAAGTTGGCATCAAAATGCATGTTAAATACAGGGGTAAAATACTGTTTTGAAGCTAGAATATTAATCAAATAATATGAACCCTCAATAATGAAAAATAATTAAGCTTTTTAAATCATTTTTTCTATGGAAGTTTTACTTTTTTATTGTGTGGCAGTAGAGAGCGATATTCCCTATTCTTAATTAATCATAAGATTTTTAACTTCTTTAGTTTGTGCGAGCGAATGAATTGTATTACAATATTATATTTAGTTGCATAACTCAGAAGTAAATTTCTGTTTTGAAAAGCAGTTAAGTATTTTCTTTCCAAGGTGATCTGTGAAGCAATGCAGTTTTTTTCCCATTATGAGCTTATTCTAACTGATGCTTGTAAGGTTTTCAAGTTTCTCTTTCTAACTAGAGTTTCAGAAAATGTAATAAGTGCGACCATTCTATGTTGTGAGATATACAACGCTAATTTAAAAAATAGAGTCTCATTATTTAATTAAATATGGAGGCTTACGTAAAATAAAATACTTTTCTTTATTTAATGGATGAGCTACGTAAAAAGTAGTACTTTGGAAAATCTAAGCTTTCTGTGAATGAGAAAAAGGATTAGGAATTTGGAAATAATTACCAACTGCCACATTTTCTATTTTCTCTTCTTTGTAGAATTACTTATTTTATGTATTTTTAGTAAATGATATAATATGATAAAAATTAGTTGAGATAATTATAGTTCATATTTTACAATTTGAAAAACGTATTTAGAGATTTATAACTTAACAACTACAATTAAGCTTCCTATTATAATTCTGTTTGTGTTAATTTTCGGATTTTACCTACAGAAGAGGTATAGTTCCTTAGGTTTTATTAGAAAGAATGTCTCTCAGTCAGAAATAAAAAATGCAAATAATCGCACAAAAATTCTCACACGTTTTGCCTTTAACGAATATCCTGCCCCAACAAATGTTCTGTCCATGCCTTGTTCGGCAGTGAATATCTGTGAAAGAGATATATAACAATGCAATGTACACCTTAAAATAATGAATTTTTTTATGAATTTTTTACATAAAAGTTTAACAGAAAGAAATTTCTTCCATATTCTGCTCTAATATTTTATTTACTGTATTCAGTTTTTGTGCATTATTTTAAATTTGTAATTTCCACGTTTGTACTTCCTGTTTCGTCCATGTCAGCAATTTATTTATCTTACATGAACTGTACAAATAATGCATTGAACACACGTATGCAGAAACATAAACTACGTAATTTATAAAAATATGAAACGAACGATAATTCAACACAAATAAACATATAGATCAAAGAATGAACTGACCAGTACAAAAAAGTTTAAAATGAAAAGTAGTTTAAATCAGTTCATCAAAATTCTACGATTTCGTAAAATAATTAATATATATATATTCAGTTCATTGGATCAGAATGTGATCGTTGCTTAAAAAAATCAGTCGCGCCCGCTATAGGACAACTTATTTAACTTACGATGCCGTTTTGCGCTTATGCAACTTTTTTGGAAGGTAAAAAGTGTACTTTACGACAGAAATTACTCTTGTATTGCACAAAAATGCCTCTTTTTTGTAATTTCCCATTTCATTGTCTCAAATTTCATGCTGTGCAACCTATCTCTATGCATTACTGTTTGTTGAAATTATAAAGCCCATTAAGTCAATTTACTGTGGATATGGAAGTGAGAGCTACTTTAAACAATTATGATATTTGACTTGTGCCTCGCACTTACGAACTTAGAAAATTTTTGTTATGCATTACAGTGTATGAGTACATACTGTTTTTAAGATAACTTTAGAAACATGTCTTGATTATCTACTGTAAAAAAACCTAACCATGTCTTTGAAACAAATGTGCTTAATAACCTTTCTATTTATAAAATTTTCAATTCTGTTATTTGTAACATATCAAATATATACTTCAAAAATATGACTGAGTATTTATTTTCTTTGAAATATTTCACATAAAGGTTACAATACAATAGAATTCAAATTGCATGGAATGGAGTTTAGACCTATATTTTGAAAAAAAAAAAAAAAAAAATATATGTTCGTATTTAGTTGGTAAACTTACAGAGTTTAACAAACTTGTCAACATAATTAATGCTTATTTGTATTGTAATTTATTAAACTAGTTTCACTCAGAAG